ACTTTTCGATGGAAGTCTCATCGCAAGCATTATTACCGAAAGTAGTGTAAATTAAAAGTCCAATCTCTTGCGGGAAACAACAGCCTTTTGATTTTACTTAACGTTACCAAATTTCATTGTCAATTCGCTTGTGCAAGCAGAACTCTAGTTCAGCACTACTGTCGCTATTTAGCCATTTAAACCACTTTTCACCTTGCCCTACTGGTGCCCTCCACGCAGGTGACAATGCAAATATCACTGTCGTTGATGTTCAATCCAGTTTCTTATTTGATAGTAAGATCTTTATTCTAAATCTACAAATTTGCTCCTAACGCTCATAAGTCAACCTCAATGCGCCAGGACAAGTTAAGTGTTACAGCTATGTGCATAAAGGAAATTCCTGTCAGTATGCACTATCTGTGTAACATTTCTTCCGTCACTCAGACTGCTCCATTACCCATGACCTCAAAGAATTGAAAAGCAGTGGATCCTTATTTTCACTATTCAAAAAAAAAACAAAGTAGCCTAACCGTAAAACGACTGTCCTCTATGGTAAAAATGAATGTGATATGTGTTTTCAGGGTGGTGAAACCCATGAATTAGCACGTTTTCGATGAAGTAAATAACACCATGCCAAAAATCCCATGTATATACTGTTGTCTTGGACTCGTACCATTACAAAGCTGACATAAATGAACTACAAGCATGAGATGACAAAGGATAGGGACAGGGATTAATCCTGTGACAACCAAGGACGTTTATAGTGGCACATAGGATTGAGCAAGGCACCTTAAATAGCTCGTGGCTTAGAACTAATCGAGTAAGTTTGTTAGACATGTCATTGCCGTCATCCGGGGAGCAAGAAAATAGAAGAAATAAGTAAAAACAGAAATAAATACTAGGAACATGAAGTTTAATATATGGGGGAAGGACAAATGATACGAGAAAGAATGGGATTTACATCGGGAAATAATTCTTCTGGATTGGAGGTAACGTCCACGCGCTTACTGAAGGGATGGCAAAGTGTGCAGCGCTATGGCCAGCTCCGACGAAAAGCCGCTGCAAATGCCAACGTAGATAGCGAAGAGAACGAGCTTTGAAGGGAATTTTCTTGGAGGGGCATCGAAAGTCGTGTGAAACGAGGCACTGGCAATCTTTATTGACATTCGGTTACGCCATCTCCATTTGAATTCACGCCAAATGCGTCTCTCTTAATCAGACAAATAAATCCCGCTCGCAGGCACTTACAGTACTTTCTTCCAAAGAATATTAAACGTTAACCCTCTATTCCATAACTCGCCGTGCGCTCGCATCTCTTTTTTCCCACTACGTCGGCGCCTCCATCGGTCCTCCCCTGCAGTCGCACAAAGCGCTGCTTTCCTCATCGGTGGTTTAGCAGGTAAGTTAGCGTCGCCACGTCATCCAGACGAGTCATTCTGTACCTCATCCCGGTTGTACAATTAGCTTTCACCATATGCATCTTCAATTTCCATCTCTACTTATTGTACTTTTATGCGTACCGAACGCCTCTTCCTTTTCGTAAGGATAAGTATTGTGACGAGTTAATGACTATTTTCAGATCGTTATTGGCCAGGACCTATTCTCAGTGTTTAGCTACCCCGGTGTGTGCTATCACTGACATTGTTGGCTGCTATAGCAGCTCAGGCTGTTTTTTGTTTGGGCATTATTTCAACTTTCATTTTGGAGTCGCTACTTCGGGAATAAGCGTCAATTTGATTTCTAGTCATTTACCTCAAGAGAGGTGTTCATTGTCTTACTGATTCCAGAACTGAATACGGCATCTGGAAAATCATAGGAAAATGGAAATACCCTGCTGAATTTGTTATTGTCGTTTATTGTTTTACTCTTCCATAACTTTGGTATATGGGTTGATACAATTTCAAGTTCGTTGGCGTAGTGATTTCTCACGTATTTCGTGACGAATATCCTCGGTTCTTTATTGACAGCAACAATGACAGACGAAATAATCAAAGACCGTATGAAGGATTTGCGGTAATTCATTATATGTTGGCCTATTTTTAGTCAAGAGACGGTTCTGTGCCGGATTAAATATCACAATAATTTGCCAGACATCCCGAGTGACCCTAAATTTTTAACATATCCGTTTGAGTCTTCAAGGTGCGTTCTTTCTTGAAAGCCTTTAAGAATCTTTAAGGTTCGTCCAATACGCGGCCACATCGCTTGAGCGAAATCATAAGCACGAACTGTTGTGTGAGGCCGATGTTGGCGTTGACGTTGATTTAATCGACCCAGATGTCTTTAAAGCTGATAACTCTGGTATTGAGACTACACGCATAATATTTTCTTAGCCTCTTTACACCCAGACGACGAAAGGCTCCTGGAGGATGATGATCCAGCTGCTCTGAATGCTCGAAAGTAAGCACGGCTTTGTCTAATTGTCTTCCAGCATGACATCTAGTGTCTTAAAGCTTCCCTGTCTTTCATCATACCAGAGTCCTTATCGACATCTTCAAGTTCTATTTTCTGACTTTTATCTCGGAGAACATTTGCCATAACTTCATATGGAGGAGATAACTAAATGTGTGTTCACTAAATCAGAGGTCTCCTCTCAGTATCACCGTCTTTAGTGCCAGTTTTCGTTCAACGATACTGCATTGATTCGTGAAGTGGTTTTATGCGTCTTGTATTTATCTTTTCTCAGTAGGGTAATTTGAAAAGAACGAGTTTCTTCTAATTTCTGTGGTGACTTCACCATCAACTTATCCGAAATCTATTTCGGATATCAGTCATATGTCCTCAGTGTTTAAACGTGTTTTGGACGAGTTTGATTCTGAGCGTCCGCATGTATTGTATGTCAACGCGCCCCCACAATAAAATTAACATTTGTAAGACCACCGTCTGAAGCATTGCCTGATTCACAAGTCGGAAGGATTTTGACCACAACTACTGTGAACCATTGGGCGGTAAAGCACCGTATTGTGTGTCGCAAGGAGTCGGCAGAGAATCAGCTTAAGGAACTCGACACCCTCAACTAAGTTGATAGCTCAGTTGAGTTTTGCCTCTCGATATGCGATAATTCACCGACAAAGGCTCAAATCGATTGACTTCATTCAGACCTCTGGCCTAGTAAGGGAGCATACCAGTCTCGATCCCAAATATACTTGGGAAACTAAAAACTGGTAACGATGTTTATTGATAGATGAAATTTCGAGGGACGTTGTTTATTCTTTTCGCCAAACAGGCGATCCCTTAAAACTGTGAGTGACATGACTGAAGAATTTGATTGAACTTCTGCTACGGATTGGTGTCTATGGCTGTCCAGTTAAAAAAAATTTCCCGAACATGTGCCTGCTGCTTACTCAAGGGGTGGTCAATCCAGTCATTTCCTGGAGCGTGACAATTGAAACCTTTTTCGTGCCACTTCAGACAGGGTTAAAAGCGCGTTCTAAATCGCTGCGTAACTTGCAACTAGTTGTCATAATATTTTATACTCCTAGTAGCTCTGTTCATTCTTGGTACGCTGTGTCAATTCGTTGAAAATCGTGCTGCTTAGACTGCCACTAGTGACCTTGTTTACTGGCACAGTCGTCCGGACCTTTCTTGTATTCTTTGTTGGCGGAACTTCCAACTCTGCTAATCTCTAAGACCGACAGTGCAAGGGGTGTTGACCTTAAAGCAACAGTAGGACAGAATGTTGTGATAAAGAAAGTCGACCGATTTTCATTATTTTGTTTTGCCAACAATCCACAGACTAATCGACGTGTGGCCGTTCCTCAGGCTACTAAATAAATGGCTTTGACTGTTATTCGTAATAGGATTGCAGTGTGCCTTGATAGTCCCCGCCTGCTTTACCGCTGTTCGCAATTAAGGTTTTACGAGTTTTGCATGTGTCCAAAATTTGTTGGTCGAATCTTGATACCAGAGGTCGAAAATTTCCTTAGTAGGCTAGAAGTTCGATCCAAACTTTTATTGATAATCTAGCCCACAATTTGAGGGACTAATAGAATGCTAATGGTTCTATGGGAAATAAAGGTAATTTTGACTGGCCTAGTTATGCGATGTGGCAGTCCCATCTAACCGATTTATTATCTGGAAGACTTATATTAACACCATGCAATCTGAAGGCTTTTTTACTTATAATTTTGGAAATTGGCTTTAAAATGTCTTTACGGGCAGTTTCGAAAGCAACACTTTATACAGAAACCCTTGAAGGCGAAATACCGTTCCTTTTACTCTTGAAGTCTCTTTTGGTTCCTGTCGTCATTTGGCCTGGTTGCACCTCATTTGCTCCTTTGTTCCACTTTTAGGTCTCGCCATCAACGTTCCGTATCTTGGCTAAGAAAAACCGAGTATCTGTCCACCGAACTTTATAATAAGTATAACAAAGCCGAGAAGGTTGAGACAAAGTAAGCTTCGGCATTTGGTCGACGCATATTCTAGACTTGGCCATAACACCAAACGTCGCTTCACGGAAGATATCGTTTATCGCGACAGAGAGAGTCAAATCCATGCCATTGAGGAGACTTTTGAGGCTGTGCGGAAGCCGATTAAAAAACACTATAGCAAACCAGGTGTTACCGCTGTCGAAGTTTTACCAGTCTTGCCCGATTTCAACTTGTGGCGTTATCCCTGCGCTCAGGTACGTTGTATACCTTATTCGAGTTCTGTCCCGTTGATCTCATGGTCAAAAAATTTGTCATTATTATTATTCTCGCTCTTCATGGATTTCTTCCAGTTTGTGGTTCGTGTCATGCTTCCCAAGTGGATTGTAGGAATATGAAACCGTCAACCTTCTTAGTGTGGAATTAACTTCGACGACAGGAGACAAAGGAAGCTTTCCCTTTCTGATTGCTCATATTCATCAGACCTCGTTTTTGCCCCCTACGAGAGCTTCATCCCTCTGATACAGGGCATTGTGTCCTGGCGCTACCAGTAAACCGCTTCGCCTTTTATGCACCGAGATGTATGTGTTCACTTCTAGTATTTTACTGTGACTTTGTATCTGCCTGCCACTCTGGCTCCGATCGGCACAAGATGATTAGATGAGATCCTCCCAAGGACTGGTCCTTGGTCGCTGCAAAGCAGGAAACGCATCTCTGAATCGTGACAAGCCTGTCAATTGGGATAATTGAACCTCTTGATCTTTCCAAGTGTCTGCCTCTGACATCGTGTCACCCGATGCCCAAACTGCCAACACACGCAACGCGTTCAGTCAGCCTGTGCGTGTTTGTCACTTGTGTTTGCAATTGTTCTGAACCTGCACCGATGGGAGCCTAGCTGCAAACTCAGACTGTCGTCGATCTAGAGTGACGTGCACAGTAATGCGACGTTAGGCCACTGCCACTGGTCTCTGTCTGATGCACTTATGCGGACGACCGTTACCTTCGGGGCGTCCTTTAGAGACCAAATGACTTGAACTGAAGAATACGGTCTGAAGTTCATTTCAGTAGGAATTTTCGAGAAGACAATGGCAGCCGTCCAACTTTCGACGATATGGCATAATCAGCTCCGTTGTCTTCCCACCTGAATCCTGTAATCAAAGACCATCCACTCAAACTGTGTCGACTTTGTGCCGGTTTCTAAGTTTAATGGCACAGCACGGGCAAAAACTACTGTGAACTCAGTCCGTTTATCTTGAGTGTTCGTTTTAAATCGCCTCCACCTGTTTCGTGACATGCAGGCAAGAAAGTCATTCGACTTTCGAACAGGACGCGACCTTCAGCCCCCACTGGAACCGCATACTCGTATGTTCCATGGATCGTAGTGCGAAATGTAGCTTCGATCATCTGGATATCTCGTAGTCAGTCATCCCGCACTGTTGAATGTCCCAACGCGTCCACCACCAACTCGTGTCTACTACTTCGGAACGAGAACCAACGTTTGTGTACACAGTGATGCGAGTGATTTATTAGATGTCACCTGCGGTCTCCGTTAGAGCTGTCTTTCTCTTACGGTCTTTCACTGAGACCTAACTTTGGTTCTTTAGCAAGTTCTATCCGACCACCCACACGTAAATGCATCACACTCCCAGGATATGTTGATGCTGCACCGGCGAGCTCTTTCACAGTTCATGCTACATTTCAGGTAGGCCTCAAAGTAGTCGAGATGTGTATTTAATCAGTCACTCACACAGACAGAGATGGCTACTTTGTGATCTGCGCTCTAGAGTATCTGTTTTGTTATAGCAGGCAGGGAAACCACTGAGACAGCGGATAGCCCCTTCCTAGTCGCCTGTTCTGCTCTGCAGTAAAATTACACTTCAGACCAAATGAGGTGGTGCAGACTTCCCTTTACATCCGCTGTTGTATAAACCAGAAGAATTTGGGTTTCGGGGGAACTACGCCAGGCTAGCCCTGTGAGTAGGTGATATAAGACATGGTACATGTATTCAGAACGTTTTTGCCCCACAAAAGCGTTCTATTGACGGTCCTCTATCCCACTCTCTGATTACAGACACGGAGTTCAGTCTAGTTCAGTTTTATTAACGGAAAGAAAGGCAAATATCTTCGAACTCCCTACTGGTTACAAATTGTATAGGAAAAGGCACCTATAAGTGGGAAATTGAAGGAGCGATTGTTTATATAATTGTATACGAAAAGCAGCCATCTATTTGCCAGTCGAAAAGAGGCAAACATGAGCGCCTACCCATCCATTGCCAAGTAATATAGACATGTAATTTCGGCTCTTGGTTATTTGGGTATCGGACATTTTATCAAATAGTTACAATTAAGACCTTATATGGGGCCATTACAGCCTATCTCTCAGTCCAGTAGAGGCTCGAGTCGCCCCGCCGGTCAATTACCCACTAATAAGTCATTTCTCTCATCTCCGTCCACTTCATTTTCTTTGTCCCATTTTGATTAAAGCAACATTTTTTGATTTTTAGGTTATATTTGATGACGATCCGGCTCGCAAAAATCAATCGACGTCGGACCAAAAGGAAGAAGTGAATCAGGCTATGATCAGGTACTCTGTGTCTGCTGATCCTTTTTTAACCATCGCCATTTTCAGTGGGTTTGACGTTCTTATTGAGCACCTTTTGGGCATTTTGTGAATGAACGAAAAGTAGTGCTAATAATGGGAGAGGAGAATAATGGCTGAACGTCCAACCCTATGACCATCTGAACCAGGGTTCCACTTAAACTACATTATTGACTGGATTTTCAGAAAGGCCTTACACGGTTTTGAAGATGTTTGGTTTGCACCCAGACGTCGGCTGGCTGATCTCGACTACGCTGACGATGTCGTCTTGCTAGTCTCAAGCTTTGGTGTCACGGACAAATGAAGTCGCAAACTCAGTCAGTTTATCCATAAACGCTGAGAAGACCAGGTCGTTTTCGAGATGCGTCGCTGGCCAGGAAAAGGCACTCCTGCCAACCTGAAAAAGTAGACAGTGTCAGGTGCCTCAGGAAGTAGGGAAGACACTGTCTCCCAAATCGATACTGCTCGCTGGGTTTTCTTAATCCTTCGAAAGTGTCTATGGACCCGACGCGACACCATCCCCACTAGGATCCGCTTTTACTGCGCGTTCGTTCAGTCAGTCCCCCCCCTCCCCCCTATGGTGGTGAATCCTGGGCTTTGCGCGTGGAAGAGGAACGAAGACTGGGGGTTTTTGAGCGCCGTTGCCTGTGGATCATCCCTCGAGCGAAGTACACCGACATTGTTTCAAATGATGCAGTCCTTACCCGCTATGACATCATCTCGAGGACATAGCAGGCCATCCAAGAAGACGACGGAGGTAGTTTGGACAAATCCTTCATCGCCCACCTCAGGAGTTCAGTGTTACTGTCCCTGGTCCGGCGCCGTTGCCCACGTGGAGGACGTCGAAGAGAAGGCCAACTGAAGACCCGAATCGACACAGTTCGTCAAGACATGGAAGTGGTTCTTGGACTTTCGGAATTCGGTCTCCGTTGTTGGAGAAGAGGCTTAACCGAGCCGTCTAGATCCACTGCCGGACATCCTCACACGTGGAGAGATACAATATATAAAATCATCGGGGGCCGGCTCTATATCAGGCTTGATCTCAGCCGTACCAAATACAAGCGCATACGCTAACTGATGAATGCTGTTGGAGTTCTTTTCTTTACTTTCCCAGCAGTGCGTCCATCGTAATCGCATGTATTTGTCTGTAGTGGACCAGACTTGCGCAGCAGACTTGTCCCTTCTTTAGCATCCACCATGTTCCATTGGCAGGCCATGGTCAACATGACTGGAGGTGGATGTTGACGCAGTGACCGGCATGTTAAATATCCTACCTACGCGTGCCATAAATGACCTGGTTTCTGGCCTCACACGGATCAAGCTTCAAAGGACTGAAGGGCTCTGCATTAACAGGGTTCCATTTCAGTCCGAGACCCGTTTTGGTCTGACGCTACAGTGGCACAGTTCGGTCACTTTCACTCGGATGGATTTTAAGCGTTCTATGAGATCCAATGCGCCAGGCCGTGTGAAAACCTGTGCTGCGATGCTTTACTGTCAGGCTCTTCGCCGGTGCTGGCGTAAGCACACTGGGTAGATTTCAGTGTCACATGCAAGTTCTACGGAGCTCTGCGTGCTGTTTTTCCCTGACAAGTACAACTGACTTGACTTCTGCTTTGACACATTTCTGTTTTAGCTATTCCCGTCCCACCCTATTTGACCGAGTCTTACCCCCTGCAAGAAGTAATTGCTAGTGATGTCTAGAATTATTGCTTACTTTCGGACTATTCCACTGGTAGTACTTTGCGGTACAAAGCAGGCTCCTTCCACCTGTGCTTATTTCGTCTCATGAGCTGTCATGTAGTGCCTTAGGCACCGTCTACGCAGTCCTCCCGTCGCAGTTGCTCCCACGCTAAGCTATTCATTTCGCGGACTGGTGATGTTGGGACTCAGCTTCTTGGGGTGCGCCCAGAAACTCCAAAGAACGTTTGAATAAAAAACGATTGAGTTTACAACAAAACTTTTATCATCTAATTTCCGTAATAAAACTACTACCTTGGTTGTCTTTGTTACGGTATTCGATTACACCAGTAATACCTGTAATATGCGTTGACACTGCGAGCAGGCTTGGATGCTATTGGTTGTGGGGCGCTCACCGATCGTGTTACTGAACTGACTCGTCCTGTTTTGGCTTGGAACTCTCTCTCGAGCCCAACCAATAGTCGCACAGCGGCGCGTAATATAGACGGAATAACGTTATCGATGAAGTTAAGGGGGACAGGAATGGCCGTTTCCGGGTTATTAGCCGTCGCCAGCCAGCCACCCTCGAGGCGTGCGCCACCCGGTGCTCGATCCCGCGACATGTTGGTTAAAAGTCCAACGCCAGGGCTCTTTCTCCTGGCGGTTGCGATCGGGATGCATTTGTTGTCGTTGTTGTTGTTGTTCGGGCAACGGTAGGTGAAGTCTAGGTAGACGTCTGGTAGTAAACCTGGTTGTGTTCAGGTGGACAGCGCCCTCCAACCTGAAAAGTTGCGACATGAAATGTGTAATCGTGTAGTCCTCAACTAAACCCCCGCAATGTTGTTATTACAGTCCATGTAAACCCCTCAAATGCATTAGCGACGAGGGCATGCGGGATAGGGTCGGGCATTGTTCAGGTCCTATGTGTTCACAACACTCCTGAAGTCTCTGAAAGTCTCTTACTGTGCATTTTCTTGGCGATATAATTTCCTGCCTACTTTAGAAGTGAACACATTTGCCCGTTTATTTTATTCCTATTCTGTCTTTTCCAACCACTCCCCAGAGGTATGGTAGACAAGACGGGTGACCATTTCGTGGCCTACTTTTTGCCCACCGACGAGACCCGGCAGTTACGTCGACAGGATGCCCAAAACCAGACAGCGTTTACGGAAGGCGCCTCGTATGAATACGAGTTGGCACGAGAGTACAACTGGAACGTCAAGAACAAAACTATGGCCAACTACGAAGAAAATTACTTTTTCGTCTTTCGAAATGACGGTACGTCCTCCAACCCCTAGTTAGTTCTTTTCGCATCGTATTACTGTTCAAGGGTGAGTGGGTGGGGGGGGCAGGGTTAAATTAATCTCATCGCACTGTCGACTATCCTGTTTCGGCGTCCATGTTGGCGCTCGCAATATGATGTCTGTGCATTAGGTGTTCGCACTACAACGGATATTCAAGAGTTCGATTCCCTTGTCCTCACTTTGGTTTCTGGATTCGTATCCATCTTGAAAGACATCGACAGCCATTCGCTCTCAGTGGCATTTTACTGGGCAGTTGCTGTGACGAATCTTGACTCCGGTCTTAGCGCATCGGTAACTTTCCTTTCGTCGAGTTCAGAGTGCAGCTTTTTTCTCAGTTAACCCTCAATGAGGGCTGTTGCGCCCCCAACCATATGCTAACGCTCCAGAGAGCCAACTGTTAGAATTGCAGGCAAACTCGTGTTTTCGAACTTTTTTCGGCGGGAATACAGTGTCGCAACACTTAGAATTGTCTATTCCCCCACCAGCCTGTCTTATGGGCGGACTACTTCTACTACTACCACTAATACTACTACTACCACTACTACTGCTACTACTACCACTACTACCGCTGTTACTAATAATACTACTACCACTGGCGGGAATACAGTGTCGCAACACTGAAGAAAACTTTTTCCCCCGTCTACCACCACTGATACGGCGAATACTACTAATAATCCTACTATTACTACTACTACTACTACTACCACCGCCACCACGGCTGCCAATGCTACTCTACCAACGCTTACAGTATGGGTAACTAACTGCAATAATACTAGCATCAGTAACGGGGTGTTACGACACTGGTATCCAACCCTTTTTTCTTACCTGACTTTTCCAATACAGCCCCGAAATACTCGTGGGCTGAGCAAGACTGTAAGTGGTGTTCGGCTTTTTCGTTTCCTCCAGAGGCCGCCATAACTTATGCATATTTCGAAAGAATCGAATCATCTTAAACGGGCTGACTGAGTGATAACGAGACAAAACAGGGAAAGCCGAAATTAGACTTATTTTCGATAATTTGCACACTCGTGACATTAATTCAGAACGGCCAGCTGGAAAAGTTAGGTAAGCTGGAAAATATTTGCCACTAAGTGACATAAAATCGCCCACTCCCCTCCCCCGTTCCCGAGTTTGGTCATTTTATATCTGTTACCAATTTCCTGCACTGCAAAATCTTGCACCATGAAGACTTGGAATGACAGCCTTGCTCCTGGCTATCTTGGCTCCCACGGATTGCAGATAGTGGTGTGGTCGTCAGCGACTGCCAACTACAAAATAATCAGAGTATATGTTTGACAATTAGACATTTTTATCTCAATTGCAGCAGTGCCATCAGGGTACCGAAGACTGTAGGGATTTCCGGTTCATTGAATGTCCCCAAAAGTGTTCTAACGCCCGATGACTGCGTCGTTATAGGACGACCGCAAGCAGACTAAGTAGGTTGTCTTGCCTTCTAATTTGTTTCTGACGTGCTGAGTCGTTAGAGGAGGCAACACCAAAGTAATGGTTCTGGCGACTGTTTGGGACAAGTATTCCAAAAAATTTTAATACACGTTAGGTAATTGAGGCCGGCTAAATCAACCAGAATTAAAACCGTATCGAATAAAAGTCCCAAATCTGGTAACCCAATCTAGCCTCTGCATTCCCAATAACCTGTTTGACTTTCCAGGTATTGAAAAAGATGTGCAATGTATCTACTGATGATACCGTTCAATTAGCCAGCCTAATTTCATTGTGATACATGCCCTATCTATACCCCTCCTCAGTGTAAACAAGCCAGCTGCCAGGAGTTTGCTAGAAAGCTGTAGGGAATGAAATCTGCACGGTTGAAAATCCGTTTTCGAAATTTTCTTTGGGGCCTCCGACCTTTGTCAGGTACTTGGTTGATCCCGTTAACTGAGCATATTTATTCATCTTCCCCATTTTATAAATTTCCTACCTATTTAACTGTTGGCACCAACTTCGTACCACATTCCCTGTCAGTGGAACTAAAGCCTTTTGAGCACGTTTGATTTATACTATATGTGTTGCTTAATACGCGTTAGTAAGCAGACCAATTGAACGTAAACATCTTTTGTTTTAGGTGTCTACTATAACGAACTAGAGACACGCGTTCGGCTAAGCAAACGGCGCAAGCTGCAGCAACAGCTTCCAGGCTTCGGAGGCGAACGTATGCAGCCACACAGCCAGACCAAAACCCGACTTATTGTACAGCATCGTGATTTCACCGACGACGAATTGAATGCACAGGCTGCACGTCTGCAAATGCTTGAACATGACAGTGAAACAGAAGGCGAAGAAGAGGAAGAGGAAGAAGAGGAGGGTGATGCGAGAACAAGGGAAGTAAATTCAGCATATAATGATGACGAAGAAGAGGAGGAGGAAGAGGAGACAGCTGATGGACGCCGGAGAGATAATGCCGGCGGGCAACGTGATTCTCCCGACGACAGCGCTGCGGAATCTTCCGTCTCCTCATCTGAAGGTAATAAATTACCAAGCTTCTTGTTTGTTGAATATGTAGCATTTGGCGTGTTAAAGCTAGACGTTTGATTGTGTTTAATTTTGTCCCACGTCACTTACTTAAGGGTGTTGTGGTTTCTTGAGGTAGCCAGCACGATCAGAATGTAAAATTCACCTATGGGACCGCTCTGCAGTCGTTACCGTGAACCGTATTGGCATCGGCAAGGTCACATTAAAAATGAGCCACGGCAGCCTGATTTGCAGTTCAGGAGACCAGAAATCAGCTGCACATGTAGTCATACTGTATTGCTGCCGGGAACCATCTAGTGCCTCTGTACAACATGCCGATCGGTTCTGGATACATTCAGATGATATTGAATAGCTGCATCAGACTAAGTGGTATATGCGTTTTTGGGATTGGGCTGAGCCAGAATGACGTCTGACTGCACATGAAGCAAGGCTGTTTTGCCTCCCCCTTGGGACCTTCTTGTCTTCTCTCTCACTGAGCGACAACTCAAATTTAGAATTTCAGAAAGGTGCGTATTTCATCCGCTAGGCTCTGAGCTGTGTCGATGTGACGTCCTAATGACGATAAATGGTGTGGTCCGCTGGAACTGCTTTCGATTATAATATCGTGGGAATTAAGAAAAGCGACATAGGACTTAGGTTTTACAAAATTGGCCATTTCTGACTGTCACTATGAAACAGGATTATTTCTGCCAACAGTCAGTAGACCGGATTATTGATTTCCATAGTTTCCGTTGTTGGAAACACTTTGCTCCCATTTAAAGAGGACACTTTCCTGTAGTGGGTGGAATTTGGGGGCCGGGCTAGTACATGGTAACTGAGCGGACCATCGGCTTCTCAGTCAGTGGTCAATGAGTCAGCGCCTAGTTTTCACATATACTCGACTTATTACCTTTCCCGACCCTTCATTTTACTTTTTCAAGCAATGCGACTTAATGAGGTCGCTGCAAGAGTGGAGCACCTTCGAAGTATGAGGCCATCAGACGATCAGGACACTTCGTAAATAGTTTAATTGTCAGTTATTTTCATTTATTTCAGGATACCTTGCTTACACTGAACCTAACTCCGCAGGATCGCGATGTTGACGACTGTCCACTGCAGTCGTACCTTCTAAAACGAGAAGTCTGGAAGGCAAACTTACAAATACAGCCTCCCTACAGTGAGTGCGCATAAGCGGTGAGCATCAAGCGCCGGCAGGGATGTGCGACCGGCCTAGTCCCTCTAGTGTGAGAGGGTGAATCACTGATTCGACACGTGCTAAGTCATCAATAATGATGGCGACGAGAAGGGCCTTGGATGCGCATGAGTATGTATACTAGCGCGGTCTTGCAGCGATGACGTGCATGGGCAGCTCCCAGCTCCATGTGTGTTCCCACAAGTTACGTTGTGGTCGACCTTTTGCAAGCTTTCGTGAGTCCGTTCATAGGGAGGACATGTGCACCTGACCCCGCCCCCGTGCAGATAGAGTACAGCCGTGTGGGATGCGTGAGACAGCGGAGACTGAATTCGGATTCCTCTGCCTCTCACTCCTATCTGACATTGCGCGTTTTCTTTCCCTGGTCTGTTTTCTTTATTCCTCTGTGTAGATGAGCGGCCTAGAAGACAGGTTCCACCTGCCAAGTCGCCGAGCGCGAGTGAGGGAGAGAGCGAAGCCAGTCCTCGTGTGGCTCATCGCAGCGAGGAAGAGGAAGAAGAACGTACTGATGATGATGGTGGTGAGCAGGAGGAGGAGGAGGAGCCTGCGTCGCGTCCTCAACGTCGGGCTGCGTCCAGACAGTCTCATTCTCGATCCACCCGTCACGACTCAGGAGACGAGGATGATGATGGCTCGTCTGACCTTTCGGATAGGCATCCCACTCGTCCACCGCCTCGAAAGCCTTCTTCCAGCCGTCCAGCACCGAGGAGCAAACCCGTAGATTCTGACTGTGAGTGTCTTTTTTGCTCTATTTACGTACGGAACCCGATGAATATCTTGAGAATCCCATCTGTACATACCGCTCCAATTTATGTCCGGATGACTAGCGTTATAGGACTTAATAGGTGAGCCAAAGGGAAGGCTGAAATTCTACCACTGAGACCTCGCCATTTATAGGGGATTTATCAGGTAGGCCGTCAAAAAATGAAATGTTTCACAGCACGTCATTTGTTAGCCATAGGTCCTTTTGGTTTGTTATTATTGTCTTTCCATCTTAAAAGAAGACTCGGTGCACATCAAAGAGTGTGCATGTATTGCCCTTGCTACGTTTGCCTCTGTGCCCCCCAAACGGACCATGTGGTAGATGCGCTGGACCAACACGGGGGCCATATCGGATTTCAGCATGCATTATCTTAATGCGCACTATAACAAATGCCAACATCTTGGGGTGGGGTGGCAGACCCAGTTGCGGACATTGTTCATGCAGATAGGGATCCCTGCGACTCTCCCCATTATCGTTGTTGGTCAAGGTCCTGGTCATTTGCTGCGTAGACCAGGGGGTGTGGAGTGGAGTGCCAAGGTGTGAACTCGACCGTGCCATCCATCTGTGCCCTCCACCGCCTCCGGTCATCCTGACTCTCTCTTGACATCAGGTCGAGGCGGGGGGAGGAGAAGAGAGTGCGATAGACGCTTTGCAAGCCTACATTCACTATAAACCTGCTCCACCTTGTTGTGGAGCACACCCTGAGCATCTTCGGCAACGACAGTCGAACTATCATGTTTGCCTCTGAAACAGTGTGCATGGAAAAATTGGTTAGGCACTACTTGTAAATCCCCAAATATCTCTCCTCTGGAGCAAAGGTGCGGCCAGTGACAAGTTCCGCCGTAGTCTGTTTTACGTAGCTTCGAACTATACGGAGGTATCAACAAATTTGGGGGAGACAAGAGTGTCCATTTTTAGATCACTCGTCGTCATTAGGTAATCATGTCACAGAGCCTGGCCAGGATGACCTGCAATATGGGCCCTGGTGCAGTTTTTTATTATACTAATCGAGCGTTTTTGCGCTTGAACGTGTTCCTGCTGTGTGTTCGGTAGATCACCCCTTCCACCTAGCATTAAATATTTCCAATCGCGGCCTACGGAGCGTAAAACCGCCCCTCAAATTGTAGAACATTGGAGTCAAATGTTTAGTGACCAGCGGGTTCGGGGCTCAGGGCTTATCGGTCTGTGATTTGGGTATGGCCAGCCAATGACGGCAAGTATGTCCAAATGGTGCTTGTCACCGCAGTGTTGATGTCGGGCTGCAGTACAAGTCATGTCCATCTGCGCCCAGACTCCGTAGGTGGTTACATGAGTTTACTTTCGTCTCCGGTCCCCCGTTTCCGTTTGTGTCTGATACCATTCCACGCTTACCCGTGTTCCCGCTCCCTCCGGTTCGGACTTTCGCCATGTCCGGCCTGACGTCCCACCCAGTGTTGCCTACTGAACTGCGCCCGTAGAGCTTAAAAAGCTGCTGGCAGAGTTACACAGCGGTTGATGGAGGTAGTTAGGATATTGCAAGTATCCGTTGGAAGTGAACATCCTCCGAAGATAGTGGGGTTCGGCTATTTTGTCGGCGCTTTCTCTGCAGTGGGTACCAGCTGTCTTGTAGAGAGTTCGCACACAGCTGCGTTTGTGACACAACGGGACAGGACCTGCGCCGTGTTGGTGGCCTGCCTGTATACTGTCGTCTTCAGGCTCCTGTCGATCTTGCGATGGACGATGACGTCTAGTAACGCGATCTGGTTGTTGTTCTCTGCCTTCAGGGTGAATTGAATATCGGGAAATACATAGTTTAGTGGCGCGTGGAATTTTGAGACCATTTCTTTCTCGAGGACGACAGATGTTTCGTCAACATACCGCGCCCAAAATGTTGGCCTGTAGGTTGCAAACACTAACGCCTCTAAACTTTGGAGAACCACTTCACCGATGAAACCAGATAGTGTTGAGACCAACTAGGATGTGTACAACACGTGGAGTTCGGTCTCTCAACCTGTTGGTTAGAAGTCCAAGGCCCCCAACCACTGAGATAGGGGCTCGTTGTCCTTTCGGTTTCGACCGGGCATATACAATGGTAGAGGAGCGCGCACCGGTCGCGTAATGTCATTCAGCCTAGAATTTGTGTGTTCACATGAGACACGGAAGTCGTCTTTATCGTCGTTATCCACATTTTCGTTTTCCCGGCAGCCGATTCGGAGGACAACTACGCTTCGGACATAACTCCGCCTCCGCGCAACACCACGCGCCAGGCGCCGCCGAGCGCTCAGAAACCAAGTCGTTTCCTAGCTCAAGCAGATGAGGACAGCGATGAACTCAGCAGCCTGAGTGATTAATCCGGATTCTTGCAGCTCAGCATCATGTTTAACTCTGTCAGCTGTTTCTTTACTTTCCTATCCTGTACATACATTGCTGTACTAAAATTTTACTCATCGTCTTCCTCTTTTCACGTTTCCTTGTTCGCCTTGGGGATTTAAAGTTGTAGCGAAAATTCCTAGTATGCGGACAATGCAAAATTTCGAAGTAGGCCATTCGGTCATCAGTTAGTGGCGGCACATAAGTATTCGGTTTCGTACTCGCCTGGGAGTAAATCACGTCTTCTTCAAATTTTGTGCTCAAAGAAGGTGTGGCTTTCGGCTTTAAAAAGTTTTTCGACTTCCGAGTAGTTTGGCGTCCGATCTGTCGTTGCATTCGCGCTTAGCCTTTTCAGCCTGCAAGCCGTATACTCTCCGCGTAAGGAAAAGCATATTTTCCTGTATTCCATTCAGAAGATATCATATAGGGCTCATAAAATTTTGCAATGGTTGTGGAATATATTGTATACTTCATGGGGAAAACTAACAAGCGGACAGTTGCCTTGCCGTATGAATAGACATTTCTCGGTCTTAGAAAAATCTTACAATTATAAAATTCAAAACCGGAGGCTACCCTTTTGTCTAGTAGGGAATTCGTAGAAGACATAATTTGCTCCAAAAATGGGTCTAGGCAGGGGTATTTTTGTAAGTGTTCTCTGTAACATAAAGTTATAAAGACATCCAAAATCTATAGAGGAAATACTACTCGAGTGCACACTTTTTACCGAGCGCGGTTGTTGCAACAGCGGAAGGTCGGTGTGTTCGAAACCCAGCATTATGGTGAGTCTGCAGTATCATGAGGTTAGGCCTCACGATAATCACTGTTACAACCTTCCTGACGTACTTCCCAATCGAAATCGAATTTCAGCTGACATTTCATACAGTCGGTCACTGACTGTGTCTTACATTCCGGCTAGATAAAGCGCTGAACCAAAATGCCCGGTCTGATTTATCGACCACGCGGACATCCTAGCTCCGCATGCTTTGGGCACAATTAACGACGAGCATGGTCGATGGGAGAGTTACTGTGTCCGTTCTCCTCCCCCACTTCGGACGCCGGCCGCTGCACAATCCGTTCGTAATCTGTGACTCTCTGCCTACATTGTACCGATTGCCTGACGCAGGCGGCTGACCAACGATGTTACCTGGGGACGAGCGGGGCTTGTGCGGCCTGTTTGTCTGAACTTGTGGCCAGCAGGACGTCTCTCCCTATCCAAAGTGTAGACACTCGTCTAAGCCTTGTCCCATTTGGGTAAATACTGACCTAAAGAGTCGCAAAGGCTTTGCGATGTACACGTGAACTGCCTCTGTCTTCATTTGTCCCGAATAAACGGCTGACACACTTGCCAGGATTCCTAGGCTAACAGCATCGCAAAGCATTACGAGAAGAGTTCGGATTTGTCTGTCTACCTGTGGTACTACCATGCACTTAACGTAGACAATGGCTGAGGGTACACGTGTGTGTGGGCGTCGTTTTGTTTATGTTCTAACTACCTATTTCGTACAACGCTCCATATTCAGCTTACCCACGGTTTGTTTTGACGGCGTTCTTATAGGACACATTTTGTTACTCCCTATCCCTAAGGGAGTTATTCTACTTTTTCCTGAATTAAATTGCTTGGTCACCCCAGTGATTGCCGAACCCCATTCTGGGTTAGGAGTTCTGTTCCGTAGGAAGATGACCCGAATTAACCTAGAGGACTGCTGCGTTTTTCTATGTGTTCGTAGTTTTCGAGAGGAGAGTTTCGCGGCATTTCATGAGCGGTTTTCGGTGAAGTGAAATTCTTCAGGTAGCTGTTTTTCTTCAGACAATCTCCTAGCCCGCTAAAAAATATCACAAATCGTGGTCAGAACGGAAGCGTCATTCTTAAGATGGGATCGACGAGAAAGTCTGAGCAACATATGCCGAAGAGTAGGTGGAGGAAAACCTCATTCCCGACGTTAATTATTTTCTAACGGCGGACAAAACGAGAACTAAGCTGATCCAAAGTTGGTTCAGTTTGGCAATGCTTATATCCACATCCGAACTTAGGAAGAAATCAGCCCAGTTGTGGGAACTGTGGTATGTTAATAAATCGAGCGAGCGTGTTAATCGGAAATCGAAAAAGAAGCCATATTTTGGAAGAAAATTTGTTAACCTCCAGTTATACCGTAGAAACAACTATGTCGTGGTCTGAGCTCCCGAGTGGGCCTAGGGATGACACTGAAAAAGACATACAACCTCTGCAGAAAATTAGGTCAATTATGCTTGATCCTTGGTGTGGTAGGAAAAAGTCGAAAATTTCCTAGTCGCCTTTCCTAAGGTAAACAATTCAGTCGACTGAAAATTTGCTCGCCGTTCGTTGAAGGTTGTGCATTATCCAGGGGTGTCACGCCTGAACGCAATATTCTAACACACGCCTGATAAATGTCCTAAACACTCGACCAAAAAGCTGTTCGCAACTGTGAAGTAAGGATATCCCAGTCGCCCACAGGACACCTGTTGCTCTCTGTACTATCTTGGAGCATTAAGACGGAGGTTTGAGAGTGGGCATCATCCACAAACTTAGATCCATTTGACCTCCGATAAAACACTGATGTTCATATCTCACCACATCTCTCTAACTAGACCATAGTCAGATGACTTGAACATGTCCTAGGCCATAGTTCGTTTCATTCTAGCTTGTCTAGCACCGTCATACGTCAAGGACGACTCGGAGAACGTCACTCGCCCACTCGTTCCATTGGGAGATGGGATTGCACCCAAAGCTGAGGCAACTGTAAGGCGCCATATCATACGGCCGAGAAGCACTGCTATTGCAAGAAAGGTTTGATAGCTTCTATCACATCTGCTGCAGTTTCCCGACGCCCCTCCGCACGCGGCGGCAATAGGGAAGAACAACACCACCTTTTAAGTCGCGGTACATTCTAAGGGACTCGGCCAGACATTCAAGTGTGATTAGGCCGAAATGCTCGCGAGAGGCGAAAACGGCGTGAGTCGCGACCTGCCCGGGATACAATTTTCCGATCCACAATCAGATAGCAAGCGCCAAAACTTTCATCTCCATATTTAGCGATCGTTATTACCAGTGTCGTTGTCGGTGAATAAAACTGTCCAATAATGCACCCACGTAATCAAATTTTGGAGGTTGACTGCTCGGTTACAGGTAATTAATCAATTTTAACACTATTTTAAATTATTCTTCCCGACTAATTCCTGTAAATCGCCCCAACGCTCATATCGCCAGGCACCAAGGTCCTTTTGCAAATACATTATAGAAATTTGAGTGCCTTTCAGGTAATATGGTCACACGCCGTGGTGCGGGATTTATTCGCTTATGGCCAGGCGGAAGAAAGGACGATTTTTCGCATTGAAATATATTGCATAGACCATTTCACCTGTCTGCACTGATAAGTTTAAGGAGATGTCTGACAATTTTGGACTCTCGGTGACTTAGTTCATCATAGTTCAGTATAGATAAGGTTAATACGCATTGGCTCCGATGACCTTACTATAAACGGTACGGACAAAAGTTTATTTTAGGGAGACATGCTGTCATAATGTTCCCAGCAGCGCATGCGGTTGGCAGAATCTTAGTTAATTAATGAATACTGATGCCCAAACACTCTGATGTGTCCAGCATAATGTGATATAGCGGATTTCCGTGTTAGCAATAGACTTGATCAAGGCGTTGGTTCGGTGTAACAAAGCTTTCCTCTCCGACTGGACGGCATCGTTCAATTAAAAATGCATCCATTTTTTGTCTATGTTTCCTTTGTGTCAATATCTCACAGTTCATAAGGTTTGCATGAGAACGTTATCTCGTCCATAAACGAGTTTTTCCGACTGGTGAGTTCACGAAGGCTGTCATTTATATTAAAAATGAGGAAAATTGGCGCGATTATTGCGCCTGTACCCAATTCACAAGCTTTCCTCTTCTCCAAAAAGTTTCAAATATGCAAAAGTAGCTGATAATGGGCACTGCAAACATCTACTTGAAATTCCTCTTCATATAATATAATCCAGACATCTAGTGAAGGCAGAAGATGTGGTGCACCTAAACAGTATGCAAGGAAGACAAAATTTCGAGTTGTAGGTGTATTAATAATTGAAGAAGAAGAGGTTTCGGCCACCGGAACATTTTGCTTATTGTTCCGAGCTTTCGGACTCGTGCAGGAGTCCATCGTTAGAGATAGTAGCAGTAACAGAACAAGCGGCAGTTATAGGGCATTGAGGCCAATCATCGACCGACGGCGTAAGACTAAGGGTTACTGTTAAGGGTTCTATAATTCGGCGCCAAATAGGTATATAGATTGACTGAGCTCTCATCCGAGGCCCAGGCTTCAATCAATCCTCGTCCGGTTTAATTAACTGGGGGAGTAATAGTACTTTTTGCGGTCCGGCGAAAAAAACGTCTCCTATGCCATCTTTCAGAATCATATTCCCATAACTGTGCTTCTTATTACTGCGAATGTGCCCGTAAAGCACCTTCTGCATGCAATGGTTCCTGCCGTCTGTCGTCGCTCGGAAGGTCTGCCAGTCCGTGTCTCCTTGTAGCGTTCTTTATGTTGGAAATGATATGGAATTTTGAAGCTGCAGCTTCTTTTTACGTAGCCTTTGTTTTTCCTCTATTCTGCTTTTAATTTTAGCATTGAACTTCGGGGTTCGGGAACTAAGTCTAATTGTTCTCATGTGATAAATCTCTTGCAGGAAATAGAAAGCAGTTGGTATGGGTAGAGTTGGTTGTGTGACTTTGCAATGAATGCACATTAATTTTCAGATGACTGGATAGGTTAGCCTGCACTTTCAACTCAAGTGTACACTACTTTATTTTAATGTGTTGTAATTGGGCCGCCGTTATCGAGGAAGGCCTCAGTTAGTGCGGCTGTATCTGTCGGGGGCGAGGTGTTCCTTCGATATGGAACATGAGGTGTGGATTAAACATGTTCTTAATCCTTTTCCACTTTTCAGTGGTTTTACTTGTCCTTAGATATTATGCTTC